TCCATGCAAAAGAGGAGTTATTGCCCAACTTAGCATGTAAGATATCATCTGGGAAATATTTGGCACGTAATACCTTATCAATAAGACAACTAGGCTTTTTTATAACTCGCTAAACTTGCCGAACCGAACTTTTTTTCGAAAATATTAATCGAACCGAATAAATTTCGGTTAATTCGGTTAATTTTCGAATTAACCGAAAATTTTTAAAATTTTTTAATTTATATAAAAATTAAATATTTTATAATTAAAAAAAACAGTTTATAATTAATTTAAATAATATATAATTATAAAAAAATTTTATATAAAATTTTTAATTAATTAATATTGATTTAGGTTTAAAAGTTATTAGATCTTAAATTATTAATTGGGTTTTAAATGGTTTGGGCTGAGCCCATATATTATATATAATATATTTAATACTTTTTAATTCAAAAAACAATTTACAATTAATTTAAATAATATATAATTATAAAATAAAAATTTTATATAATTTTTTAATTAATTAATATTGATTTAGTTTTAAAAATTATTAGATCTTAAATTATTAATTGGATTTTAAATGGTCTGGGCTGAGCCTATATGTTATATATAATATATTTAATATTTAAAATTTTATTTCGGTTAATTCAGTTAATTAACCTATTTCGAACCGAATTAACCGTTAACCGAATATCCAAAAACCTTAACCGTTCTCCGACCGAACTAATTTGGTGACCGACCGAATTAATTTAGTTCGATCGATTAATTCGATTAAAACTGAATTTTAAACACCCCTACTAATATCTACGCATCCGCTGTCTGATATTGTACGACTGTGCAATGTCATATGTGAGAGGGTTTTTTTTTTAACTAGACCTCTTTCCTATAAAAAATGATTATTTTTTGAACTTATAATTATTTAACATTTTCAAGTTACTATTTTAATTGCATGATTCATCGGCAAAATTGCCCAAATAAAGCTATGAGAATGTTTAATTCCCAATTTAAGGATGTTAGTCCATTATTTCCCCAAATGGGGTGAATGTTACAGGGTTGGATGCATTGCTTTGGATCTCTCGGCGTCTTCACATTCGTTCAAAGATCTCTCGACGTCTTCAACACAAAATTTTCCTGCAGGTGGATCTCTTGGCGTCTTCCATGCAGGGAATGCTGCAAGGCTTCCTCGTACGATAAAGCTCCCGAAGTAAAGTCTCTTGACCCATTTTTGTAACGCCATCGAACCGTCGAGCTCACTCTCGGTTTTCTCTATAACAACCCGATCTATCTCTTCATCAGTATTGCTTTTAACTAATAGCTTGTTTGAATGATCAGATGATGATGACACACATCGTTTATTTACTGATTCGGATTGCAAAAACCTTCTGATTCTAGCAAAGAACTTAAGCTTCCTACGAGAAAGTAACCAAATAGAAGATGAAGAGGAAGACATGCTCTGAGTTTGAGAGGGAGACATGGTTGGAGAAGGGAAATTCAAAGAAGTGGGTTTATTGTTTATATAAACTACTGCGAACAGAAACCAGACAGCCACCATTGCTCTCCATTGCTTCACCGTTCAAACCAGCTTTTATAAAGACCCAACCACCTAGAAGCTTGCATGGGGGTTTTCTGCTACTGTCATCGGTTCTCCCTACTGGTTTCGCCGAAGCTTTATCGTACGAGGAAGCCTTGCAGTATTCCCTGCATGGAAGACGCCGAGAGATCCACCTGCAGGAAAATTTTGTGTTGAAGACGCCGAGAGATCCTTGAACGAATCCAACACCCCTGTGAAGACGTCGAGAGATCCAAAGCAATGCATCCAACCCTGTAGCATTCACCCCATTTAGGGAAATAATGGACTATCATCCTTAAACTGGGAATTAAACATTCCCAGTAGCTTTATTTGGGCATTTTTGCCATGATTCATCACACCTTTTTTTAAATCAATTAACCAATTAATGTACAACGCATGATTTAAAATTTAATTTCCTTTAAATTTTAAAAATTAAAATTAAAAAATTAAAATTTTTCAATATTTTACAAAATATCTCAAAATTTTAAAAAAAATCCAAATAATCCAAAAAATCTCATCGTCAACCATCATTACTGTCGACGATCACCCACTCATATGACAACCACCACCTGTAGCCCCACACAAACAGGGGCAGGTCTCCCTTAGGGTCCAAAGGGGTCTCAACCCCTATAAAATTATTTTATATTCGGTGTATTTTGATCTAATAGGATTTGGTTAATGTAAAACTAACTATTTAAATTAATAAATATAAGAATTTATTAGATATTTAATCAAGTAGGGGGCGAACTAAAAAATAATAATCCAATACCAACAACCAATTGGTCTAGCAGGATGAAACACTAGATCCCTTAAGCAAGGTTAGGTGTTCAAATATTGACGATTGCGAATGCAACAAACTGGGTTGGGAGGGCTGCCCTTGCATCTACAGTATCTGATCCGAATTAGTCGATCAATAAATTGGAAACCAGTGGTTAAAAAAAGGAATGATAATTCAACATTCTCAATTTTATGGTCTAATAACAATTTAGGTCATTATAAATTTAATTATTAGTCAAATTAGACATTGTTTTCTGAATTGTAAGTTTAAATACCTATTAAGTTATTATATTTTTCTAAAAAAAAATATTTCGGCCTCTATTTATATATAATCCTGACTCCGTCCATGCACACAAAGGGGTTTAACCCTTAGGATTTATGGATTGAATTTAAGGAGTTGTGTTTAGAGATTTTGGGATTTTAAAGATTGAGGCTATGATTGACCGATGACAGGTGGGTAGACAGACGACAAGGGCGACAATGGAAGGAGACAACCAATGAGTAGGGTTGGTGCTAGGGATGGCAAACGGGTACAATTTCTTGGATTCCGTACCTTACCCGTTCCAATTAGGGCGGGGATGGGTATAACTTTAGTGGGTAGTAGGCGGGTGTGGATTTAGAAAGTGGTACCCGTCGCGGGTAGTGGGCAGGTGATGAGTTTGAGATCTTACCCGCCCCGCATCCGCCCGCCCACTAAATACCCATTAAATTTTGGACCATTATGAATTAGGTATAATTTTAGAAACTAATTTATAAACCTTAATATTGTATAACATATAACTTATAATTTAACCAAATATTAGGGATAATTTAACCAAAGGAACAATGTTGAACAAGTTTGCTGAATTTGTAGAGCAAAATAATGATGCAATTTTAGAAAAATTTGATTTGGACAGTTACTTAGAAACTGCCAACATACCACTTGTTGATGATTTTGATATTCTTAACTGGTGGAAAACAAATGGAAATAGTTATCCTACTCTCCAACAAATGGCAAAGGATATTTTGAGCATTCATGTCTCTACTGCCCCATCAGAATCTGCATTAAGTACAGGTGGAAGAGTAATTGGTGCTTATCGTAGTCGACTACTTCCAAGGACGATTGAAGCATTAATGTGTGCTCAGAATTGGCTTTGGGTCGATATTAAAGGTAATATTATTATTTAGTCTATATTAGTTGTCAAATTGTGCTTAATTATCTTATTAAAGTTTAGTTACTAACTTATATTAGTTTTCCTTCTATTATATATGTAGGTAGTAGTGAATTTAAATTGGATCGCTCTCAATTGGAGGAAATATATAATAATATATAATGATGATTGTAATACTGTTGTAACAGATGTCACAAGTATTGTATGAAATTTAAGAATGTTGTGCCAAAGAACAAAAATATTATGTGTTTGTCATTTATGTTTCTAGACTTTACTTATGTCTTTAATTATGGTGTTTTATGTACATTAAGATCTATGTTAACACTTAACTCAGATAATCCTTTGTTTATTTTATTATGCTTCTTAATGGACGTGTTTGTTTTATGTTTGTTGCTTATGTATAATTTAAGGTTGTTGTCAGACAGTCTAGCCGGGTACGTCTCCAGTTGGGTAGGGGTGTGGGGATGGATTTGAGAATGTACCAGCGTGGGCGGGTGTGGATTTGAGAAATTTTACCCATCATGGGTGGTGAATTTGAAAATATTATGTGAGTATGAGGATAGGGAAGGGGGCATCCGCACCCGACCCGCCCATTTGTCATCCCTAGTTGGTGCTTTGAAATTGAAAGAGAAATTTTACCCATCATGGGTGATGAATTTGAAAATATTATGTGAGTATGAGGATAGGGAAGGGGGTATCCGTACCCGACCCGCCCATTTGTCATCCCTAGTTGGTGCTTTGAAATTGAAAGATTTGGAATTTTTTGAGATTTTAGATATGTTTTGGTTTCTTTTAAGTAATACTAATATCTTTAAATTTTTTTAAAAGTAATATTATAAAAATTATAAACGTGTCACGTGTTTTTTGAATGATTAATTGATTTTAGCATCATGATAGACAATCATGATAGACAAAACATATATTTTGAATGATTAATTGATTTTAGCATCACGATATACAAAACATATAAAATAATAATGTAAAAAACGTTAAATATTTATATTAATAAAAATATATATTTAAATGAAACAAATGTTATTTATAGTTTAAGTAATTTATTTTTCATATTATATTAAGCCTCTTTTAAAAACTCAAATCAAATGATAAATCTATAGTAAATGTTGTATGCTAAAACATATCATTAATATGACACATCGAAAGACACCATAATTAAATTATTTTTATTAATTAAATACTAAAATCTCAATGACCATTTCATAATTAAAATATTTTAAGAATTTATTTTTTATATTAATATATTTTGATATATCATATTATAATATAATATTTCATTACCTTCAATTTAGAAATTTTCCAAATCAAAAGGCGAAAATAATGTCTAATGACCATGTTTTAGCGGTTAACCCGTCTTTTCTCCCTCTCTATCCCTCTCTGGTTTTCACCCCTTTTTTACCTTACCTCTCTGTTTTTTTTGTCCGCTACTGTGAGTTCCTTTGCCTTTTACCTAACAGAAGTTTTGTTGCTTTGGATGCCCTATACCTCTACCCCCCCTACCCCTACTTTACCCAATTCCTTTCTTTCTCTTTCATACCTCCTCTCCCCGCCCCCCTTTTAAATTCGCTAGAATTCATTGAGAATCTCCAAGATATTCCAACACTCCTCTCTTTCTCTGTGTAACATTATGGATGTTAGTAAAGCATTCCCTTTTCTTCCTCTATGTGTATCTATGCTTCAAACTCATCACTTTAATGTCTTATTGTTGTAGCTGATGAGGATTCTGTTGTAGGAATACTATACAAGGAGCCATGTTCCAGCTTTTGGCAGCTGGGATTGGAACGACGACCTTCCTTTCACTCAGTGTTTCGAATCAGCAAGACAAGCCGGTTTGTTTCGTTACAGCTACTCGGAGGATCGTGATCTGTATGTTGCTGGTGATCATTATGATAATGATCTTGTTACTCCTGCCATGATCGTTGTTCCACGTAGAAGGGTAAAAAAAACCTTAAAAATCATACCAGTTTATTTTCTGTTTCACTTGTTCATGTGCATTGACTTAATTTTGATTCATTTGTTTTTGAGTTGTTTCGTTTAAGGGGATTCCTGGTTACAACAAAAGGGTCCAAAATGTCAAAAAAGTTGAAAGAAAATTGCATGGAAAGGAATTTACTTTGCGTTCATTGCTTTAAGATTATTATAACGTTGGAAGGACGAGAAAAGGACATTGGCGTGCTCATAAATGAAAGGTCTACGACCTAGGAGCATCCATGTGACTTAGCAGAAACTTTTTGTTCTTTCTATAGACAAGAAATTAAGCGTTAAGTTGTCTAAAAAAATTAGGAAGATAAAGAAAAGCTTGTCCATCAACTAAAATGGTAATGTGATGAAATAATGACGATGGGGAATGATAAGCATGCATTGATTCAATGACAGTAAATGTATTATATTTGGTAATAATGCTGAATGAAAATTTTGCAGACAAAAGTACGACAGTCCAATGTTAAAGGGAAAAGGCAAAGCTGGGAGATCAATGACGTGAACGAACCACCAAGTCCCACTCCTATCCACCACCGGCCAGCACCCAAACCGGTTGATGAAGACCTCTATAAAATTTCCCCCCATCTCCTTTACGCAAAACCCAGAAAAGTATGTTCTAGTATTTAAAATCCCACCAGAATCCTATTGATGCCATTCTTTTTATATTAATGTATCCAACCCTTTGTGTCTTTTTGGTGCAGAAGAGAGGGTTGAGCTTCTTTTCGAGCTGCATGGTTCCTGCTTGTGTGTTGTGAAGCTGCTGTTTTGCCCATCGCCAAAGTTCATGCTTAAGCTTTTTCATGTACAGGATGAAGTCATATAGTTTTAAGAGGATGATGAGGATGGGATTATTGGGTTAAGAAGTGAATTAATATAGTTTTTATTTTACTTCTATTGTTATGTGAGGGTTATTGTAGGTAGAATCTTGTTGTTGAGGTGCTTTTTTTTTTTTTTGCATTGCTCAGTTTCTTGTATTGGAAAGCTATTTTTTAGAGGTTTTTAATGAAAAAATGGGATTTGGAGAAAAATAGTTGAGTGGTTGGAAGTTGAATACACGGGCCAGATTATCACTAATTCATTCATATATTTGGGTTTAGCACCAGATTTGACTCTGGTTTGAAGGGTGCTTAGTGGTTGGAAAAGTTGAAAGTGAAACAAAACAAATAGGTTAAGTGACTACAAAGAAGAGCATTTGCTTTCCATGAAAGAAACAGAGAAAAGGATAACGTGTAAAAGAAGAGAGGAAAAGGAAGTGACTCCTAACAGATAAACATGGTTCCTTCTTTTATGTGATGGGTATAGTACTAATCAGAGCATTAAGAGGGCCATTATCACACTTGATTACTTCCAGGTTTCTTTTCTTAAGCAGATTTTGATTTCTTTTTTCATTCAAAGTAAATGTGATTAGACGTTCCCAAATTTACATGGTGGTTCTCAAAGTTGGGATTTTTCATTGACCGGGCCCAATCCGAACCGGTTGATGATTAATCTATCAAAGATTTTGCCCTGCACAAACCAGTACAGCTGCCACTCAAAAAGTCGGAAAAGAGAAAACTCAATCCAGCAGTTGTAATCAATATTGGTGAATAAGATGAGTCAATGTCATCTCTCCATCTTGTGTGAGAAACGAAATCAATTTCCCCAGGCATTCTTTACTAGCATTAATGCGTCTCTTCTGCAACGTTCCCAAGTTGTAAATGTGATCTATTAATGCTGCAATGCTTTTTAATTAATTTCCAACTTACTCCCTTGAATATCGTCACTCTCGTTTACTGTGCAACAGATGAGATGAAAGTGAGTTATCGGGAGGCTTTCTATTTTGCATTTGCACCTATGATTTCTTTGGATTTTTTTATGATTCAGATCGTCCAACCTCTTTTCTTGCATCTCTGGATACGGAAGCTGCTTGCCCTTTATATGTCTGTCTATCTTCCAACGAAATTGATCTTCGGGCAGGACTTGATTTGCCCCTCCTTTTTATAGTCCTTTTTTTTACTCATCGATAAAAAAAGGTTCAGTCTGGATTTATCACACCTCCAAGACCAACACGCGCACGCGCACACACACGATTGTCGCTTGAATCATGAGGATTTAGCCGTTAAATGTTCGAGCGAATAAATTCCGTCGGGATTTCGACTGATTGATGGCTGTTGTAGCAGCCGATGGTGGTGAGGGGATTGAAATTAGGATTATTTGGGATTTTGGGTTTTTTTTTTTATAATTTCAAAAGGATTTTGATTTTTTCTAAAAATAATAATTTTAAGATTTTTTAAAAAATAAAAAATAAATTTTATATGACTGAAACGTATCAGATAACGACCATTACGATTAAGGCCCTAAAAGTGTAACATTAGACACCTACTTTTATAGTGTAACATTAGACGCTAAAAGTCAATTTGAAGTATAGCATAGACACTTAAAAGTGTATTAAGCCTATATATATCTTTAGACACTGAAGCCAATTGAAGTATAGTTTAGGCAATTAAAAATGTATTAAGCCTATATATATATATATACACATGTTACCATATAGAACTTAAATATTCAATAAACAGGTGATTCGAATCTCTCCACGAGAAAGTGAAACTGTTTTATTTCCTCCAATTATCTCATTCTTATTTTCAATGGACACACTCATTAATCATCAAGTCAAATCATAAATGTAGCGCTTATAGTCAAGACTTTAGGCTATCAGCACATCTTGAATTCACATCCGATATCTACAACTCCTTGAGAGATCTCATATAAAATCATAACTTTATCCATACTGCTCACGGGTACAACATTCCGCAATACAAGAACGAAAAACCTTCGCCCTCTTATGTGGCAGGCAAGGCCTGCTCAAGGGTAGTCTGGATCTATATCTGCTAAAAGAATCTCGATGCCAGTCATCGCTTCCTAATACCCTTTCTTTCATTATACTCCTAATCACTATCAGAAAAGTATCTCTGAGTGTCAAATGGCTGGTTCCCAGAGTTCGAATTGTAGCTGTTCGTGGCATTTTGTTCATTGATTGGTGCAAATGCTGCAATAATACAAGTACACAGGTGCTCCAATATAAGAAATACAATACATTGCATATGATATTTGCATGCCATGCATAACTGAAGTTCTCATGCATTTTACATGACATGAAGTGAATTATTTTATGGATACATCTAGGATCCAATTTCTCATGTAAGCTTAACCATCCCTATATTTAAGAAAACACAATGAAAGGATCCAAATTGTAAATCAACACATACGAAACACTTTCTCAGCTAGTTGGAAGTGCATATTGAAGAAAAATGCAGCTTATGTGTGATAGTCTGCATCGAACAATTGGCAACGAGTTCAATGCATTTTCATTAGTTAAGTGAAATAACAATCGAAACTATTACCCTGAGAGCCCCCAAAACCTCTATTAAAAGAAAGCAATGCAGAAAAAGGGTTCAAAATAGAATTTTGTTCTTGAGTAGCATAAAAATTTTGCAAGCCTTCCAGAGCAAAACTATGATATAATCAAACTCAAATTCATTTAGATAGTTAAGAGCTTGGGCTAAAGCTTTCATCACTACAATAACAAGCAATAGACAAAATAGCTCAAACAATTATTGATTATAGTTTTAGTTGCCTTCTTCATGAATATGGGCACACTTCTTCAGTAACAAGCACTAGACAAAATAGCCAAATTGGAAGGGATTTACATAGAGGTGGTAATTTGGCAACTGTGTTGTTTCTTGTATGGTTGGTTTTGGTAGCGAGCAAGCATATTAAGTCAATTCAAGTTAGCTTGAAGATATGTAAGGTTGGTTTTTCAAGTGCAGATACACTTTTGATGAGTTTTAATCAACAACATGCATATAGCGATCAAGTTTGGATTCAAACCATGCCATGTTTCATGTCAGAGCATGACATTCAAGATATTATCTTCCCTGGTAAATTAAGTTTCATATATATATATATATATATATATGTACTGCAAGTTGATCGGTTCGATTCAGCTTTTACTACCTCTAGATCTATAGAATAGAAGCATAAGCAGCACCTCAAATTTTCTGTATAAAACATAAATAACTTGAAAGTTGAAAGAATTGAGCATACCTTTTTCTCTCATTCTTTTCTCTCTATCAAATTCAAACTTATCCCGAAGCTGGTTGACTTTCCCTAAGTTATCAGCTTGCCTATTCCTCACAAAGCCTTGATCCTGCAGTCGGAATACATAATTCAATGTAATGTCAAGAAGAAGATATGTTCCAAAATAATAACAAAAGGCGGAAGTTCCATGTATTCAACATGGGACGACCATGATATGATTGAATTGGCTGTTTATGTCAAGCCACCAACAAATAGTGTAAAACTTTCACACCTTCATAAGATCGGCACGAGGTCCCCTGCTCCTATAATACCAAACAAAGGGAGTATGATTAAGCATATTATTTCGAGTTGAATCCTAAGACAAATTAATATTGTGATGATGCATAAGTACTTCCTCAATCAAGGCATCTAACATTTACAAATGGCAAGGAATCTAGTCTAAAATATGTCTCTATTATTAATTAAATGAGGACGAAGAAGAAACCATCAAGGAGAAACCTGTAAGGGTTAAAATCTTGATCGTCCTCCTCCGCGGACTCATACTTGGCATGATCTTTAGCAATTTTTTTGGAGTAACCCTCATCCCAATACAACCTCTCCCAATTTTCTCTAAGCTCACTATACAGTTCCATGTACTTTTTGCACCAGGGCTCATGCTCCTTCAGTAAAACAAACAAGACCCAGAAAGACAACATACTATTAGCTACAGTTTTCAGCGTATTTTTGCATTATTAAGAACACTAGTAATTATGGTTTAGCGCTAACCGATTCTTTAATAACGAGGCGCGTGCGACGCATGAACTGTTCCCTTAGCTGCTTCCGACGCTTGTTAGGGATGTTGTCTCGGGGGACGACGAAGCGCTCCCGTGGGGGCACATGATCTCCGATCTCGTGCATCTCGCCGTCCACCACCCACCACTCGGATTTGTCTTCCGTTTTCGTTAAGGGAAATCCAGAGCCTGAGGTCCTGGGCCGCCGCTTGGAGGAAGCGGCATCATTTCTAGCGAAGCGGAGTTGGTGAGTGGCGGAACGGAGGCATTGGGTTAGTGTGTGGAGTCGCTTTGAGGAGAGCATGGATATTAATTATGGAATCAGGCGTTGGTATTTCTTCGCAATCCTCACTCTGTAATCTTTTAGGTCTACTATCGCCACCCCAAACTGTATTTCTTTAAAGAGTGTTTTATTATGCCTTCACTCCTTGTACTCTTTAGAATTCTGGACATCTGTTCCTATATTTTTGGAATTATTCATCCATTTATTTAATTTGACATTTAAAGTCCAATCGATAATGGTTTTAATGAATTTCCAATAAAATTGTGTATGTATCATTTTTAATTCGAAGTTTTGATTTAAAAATTAAATTTCATTTTATAGTACATACATATTTAACAAAGATGTCGATTCAATCTTATCTTGAGGAAGGAAACTGTGGAAGTAATTTGCTTTAGGTGTTTATCATATCAAACGAATTTAACATAGATCATTTTATAGTGTTATTTGATATTTTTATGTTAGAAAATATCCCTAATATTTGACTAAATAATTATTTTTATTTTATTTTTTAAATTATTTTAATTTACAACGTTTTATTTTAATGTAAAGAGACCCCTCTACAAATAAAAAAAAGTTAATTACCAAATTTGGGATTATTATAAGAGACAAATGATTATTTTAATCAACGTTGGGGTTAATTTTGATATTATGCCTTTTCTCAATCCATTTTATATTTGGATTCCATTTTATGGAATTAGAAAAACATGTTTTTGAAATAAAATTTTGAAAATATGACAGAAAACTGAGCTGGAGGACATGTTACTCACAACCTTCAAAGATCTCGAACCGTTCTTTAGGGA